GGCATCCTGGGAATAGGGACTGTTGGGGCTCTGTCATAGTCACAGTTCTGGGTTGAGTGGTGCTACAGCAGGTTGGGACCAGGTGTCTGGGTCTCACCTCTGTGGGAGGAAGAGGTGTTGGGGGTACCTGGCCTGTGCACAGTGACGTGGTTTGTTCTGTGGAGATAGGGTTCAGGGAGGAGGGGGCGTGTCTTGAACAATTTCGTCACAGGCGCCTCACCTGCCGTTGGTGTTCAGAGAAGGGGTCTTGGCTGAGGCTGATACTTTCCCCTGATTTTCCTGTGTCCAGTTGGGAGGGGTGGCAGAGCCAGGAGCCAGCTCAGGCAGCCTGGGCACCCAGCATCTGGTGGCCACCCCTGTGTGGGCACCCTAACCCATCCCCCGGGCAGGCAGTTGCAGGAAGGAGAAAGGCTAAGCCTGTCTTCAGCAGTGAGGAGGAGGAGGAGGGGCGCGAGATGGTGCGGATTGGGCCTTTCTGGACGCTGCACAGGCTTTTGATTGGGCTTGCGTGGACGACAGAAAGATGAGGTGAGGACAGTCGGACTCTGTGGGGTGCCCAAGGCTGTCCTGCTGACAGATGGCGGCCTCCTCCCGGAGAGCTACTGTGGGCCCACGCCACTAGCCTTTTGGTTAGCAGCTAGATGCTTTATCCACTGCGTCACTAGGCCTTCTCATCTGACCACGTGACATCCAGATCCTCACACCCACCCTCGGAGACCAGTGATACCAGCCCCATTTCCCAGATTTCAGAAGCAAGACTCAAAGCCACTCTGCAAGAAAGGTGGGCATTGAACGCCAGCAAGTCTGCCGGCAGCCTGAGGCTGGGGAGGGGACCCTGAACTCTGATTTCTCCTCACCTGCCTGGCTGGCTGGTGCTGGAACAGGACGTGACCAGTGGCAGGTTCTAGTTGTCAGGATGAAGCCAGCCCTTCCCACCTCCCACTCTTAACCTGGTTGCCAGGGAAATGGTTTCCATGGTCACTGTCTCCACGACCTGGCCTAGACCCTTCCCCTCCTCCCTGTGGACATCATTAAGGCTCCCCTGGGAGGCTGTGTTGATTCACAGAGCTGCTGGGGAGGGGGCGCAGGTGTGTACTGCTCCCACCTGTCCCCACAGCCACCTGCTGCTGTCTTTAGAGGCCCTCCGCTGCCCCTCTTTGGTTCTTGGTGCAGTGGCCATCACAGCCCTATTTTCCTATAGCCCCTCAACCCTCTTTCCTGACTTCTGTGTCGGTGGTTAAGATGGAATTCAGGTACCTCACACCTCGCCTAGTTAAAGCAGACAGTTCTGGTGTTTCCTACAGCATTATGTGACTAGCAGGAACAAACTCATTGCCGTGAAGTCTGAGCTGGCTCATGGCTGGCTTCCCTCGGGTTCTCCGAGGCTGTGAAACGCACAGGAGGAGAATGCCCACCTCCTTCCCGTGGTGCAGCTGGTGGATTTGAACCACCAGGGTGGCACTGCTGTTGGGTTAGCAGCACAACTCCCCAAACACCACCAGAGCCCTGTGGACCGGCAGCAGCATCTAAATGTAAACCGTCTTTGTGATCTCAAAAGAAATCTCTTCTCCGTTCACTCCCCGCTCCCTGTTCCTGTTGACCCACAGACCTGCATTGTGTTTGGACGTTGCAAGTAAACAGAATCAGTGTGAGGTCCTTTGTGACTGGCTTCCCGTCACCTAGCTTTGTGTCTTCAAGGCCCGTCCATGTGGTCACAGGGAGCAGGACTTGGTTGCTTTTTATGGCTGAATGACACTCCATTGTATGGATTGGACTCTGGCGTGCATGTGTCCATGCCTCATTCATCTGTTGGTGGGCTTTTAGGTGGAGTCTGCCTTCTCACTCCTGTGAATACTGCTGCTTTGCTTGCTTCTCAAAAGCTGTTGACTTGAAGCACACCCGCCATTAATCCTGCCCCATTGACATATAACACATCTTGCCCGTTGCTCGGTGGCATTTTGACCCCAGGCATAGAGGTCAGAGTGGACAGCACATAGTTGGGAGTGTACTCCATTCAGTCCACAATGCCGTTGGTCGCCTGCCTGAGACCTTCGCGGTGCCCCAGGTCTCAGAAGGGCTGGGGGTAGGGCAGGAAGGAAAAAGTAACTGCTGATTAGCCGAGCAGCGGGGTGGAAATGGTCGCGTGCAAGGGAGAACTGGGGCCGTCGAGAGCACCTCAGACGCCTTGCCCGCCTGCATCCACTCTTGTTTCTTGCTGAGCCCTGCCACGTCCATTCCACCTCACAGCAACCGCATGTGACCGAGGAGAGCTCTGCCCCAGGGCTTTTCTTGCTGCTTTGTCCTGCGAACTATCAGTGCTGACCAGCCTTTAGATGATCAGCTGAGCACTGTAAAAAAATGAACTGTTGTCGTTGTTTGTGCGTGTCGGAGCTGCATCCGTGTGACCGACCAATACTCACTACTGAGGAGCGCTCTGACTTAAAATAACCTCTGAAACGGGGGGTCCGGGGAAGCACACGGCAGGTCCAGCCTGTTCAGAAGGAGCGTGCGGAAGAAAGACGGGCAGTCTCTTCCCGTGCTGTCTCCAGCCCCTGGAAACCTGCCTCTGGTCTGATTTTCTACGGAGGGGATGGGCGGTCTCCACGTGTCCCTGACCTCTCCCACTTCTCCCCGCCTCTGGTCCTCGGGTCTGTCTGCTTCCACGGAAAGGAGCAGATGCAGCCGGCTAGACTGTCAGCAGTGCCACCAGGCGGCAGTGTGCTGAGTACCAGCCCCGCTGCCCGAGGCCCAGAGTGTACAATGATCAGATGTTGACAGGGGGTGGACAGACGGCCCTCTGCTGCGTCAGGTCATCTCTCCCAGCAGGTGGCGGGTGACCTTAGATACAACAGAACAAGGACTGCGCGGCAATGAGGGACAGACTTAACGCAGCACCCCAGTAACCTCCTCTTTCCCTCCTTCCTCTTCCACACTGCTGGGGTGTGAACACTCTGGCCTGACCTCAGCCCGCCCTGTCTAGTTCAGCACCTCCATCTCTGCAGCCCTGTGTGCCCATAACTCAGGGAGGGCTTTCCTCTTCAGAATCTAAGCTTCACGGGGACAGGGCTTCAGGAGAGCCCGGGGCAGCTTACTGCAGAGAATGGGCGTAAGCCCCCGTGAGGCTCTCGAACTGGCCGGCCTCGCTGCCTGTTGTCACCTGAGCTGTGTCTGATGGAAATCGTGGCCCTGTCTTGTGCCGTCGCCATCGTGCCAACCCACTGCTGCAGTCACTGCGTCGTCCATCTGTCTGGTTGAGGCTCTTCCTCTCTTGCTGACATGTTCAAAGTTTATTTCACCATCCTTGACTCTAAGGAGCACCTGGACTCCTGGGAGTGAGTAGATAAAGACACGAAAGTAGGGACTCGGCATGGTGAAAGTGCCAGTGCTGGAGGGGAGAGACGGCTGGGGGGCGATGGTGATGGTGAATGGGACCCCTTATCTGGGGGCAGACCACACCCCATAAGGAGAGGCCCAGCCAGCCGCTTCTCACTCCAGCCCCCTCTCTTCCCTGCTCCCCACTTCTCCCTTAAGACCTTCCACACAACCCAGGAGTGTCCTGTGTGAGAGGGGACTCCTGGGCCAGCTTTGTCACTGCTTATTATGCATGTTGGCCGGGCTGGGCGTTCCTTGTGTTTCGTTTTCATGCTTTTGTCAGTTTGTTTGTACAGACATTGTCCAGAGTCCCTTCTGACACACAGTGGCCCCGGAGGGCAGTGTGGAACTGCTCTGGAAGCAGATTTCCAGGCGTTTGTTCTAAGTGCCTCTGAGCGGGTTTGATCTGCCAGGCGTCCACTTGGTGGCCCTGAGGCAGTAGAATGACACTTTTTTCTAGGCTGTGATCTTGACAGGAGCAGATCCCCAGGGCTTCCAGTCAGCTGTTAGGTGCTCAACCACTAGGCCTCCTGGGCCTCTTAGTGCAGTGCTAGTGTATCCATTTCTCAGAATGATCCTCACCCAAGTCTGTTGCCCCAGCTGCTGGCCCTACGCTCTGCCCTCTGGTGCTCGTGACTCCCTCCTGATGAAGTCTGCGCCATTGCCCGCTGTTAGGGACCCCACCAACATCTTCTTGCTCGTCCTGTGTGGTGGGGCCACATCCCGCCCCCTGGGACCCCTGAGCAGCTGAGGGTTTGGGTGGGTGAAGAGCGAGCAGTAACATAGTGAACAGAATTCGCAGGAAACGAGAGGAGGTTCATAGGAAATACATAGTAAACTTGTGGTCAGCCGCAACCCACAGATCTTTCTGATGAATGTCTGCCGGCGGGGTGTTCACCACACCTGCTAGGGTCCTACTGTCCCCTGTCACCAGCTCCTGGAGTTGCTGACAGCACCACAGTACTACAGCTTTGGGGAGCGCCTAGCTGGTGGCCACCATCCCTGGCCCTGCTGGGGAGGCGGTGTGAGGTCCTGTGTGAGATTGTAAAGCAAGGAGGGACCAGGCACGCCCCAGGTGCAGGCCTGTCACCTGCCTGCTGTAACTATCCACTTGGCGGCTAAGACCATGGACATTTGTCCCCTTGCAGGTCCGAAGGCCAGAAATCTGAAGTGGGTTACGTTATTTGGAGCCATGAGGTAGTTCCTTGTCATGGCCCAGCGGGCCCATATGGCAGTAGAACCCCAGAGAAACAGCACCACAGAGTCTTTCTGGGGAGCCTCTAGGTGGCTTTGAACTGTCAACCTGTTGGTTAGGAGCTGAGCATTTGCCACCATAATACCCTGAACTAAAATCAGGGTGTCAGCAGGCTCCTGCTGGGGTGTCCATGCTGGCTGGGTCTTCACTCTCTTCTAAGGCAGCGGGAGGCTGTGCTGGGGCACCTGACCCCCACAGGGAGAGCTCTGGTTCGGTGGCCCTGTGGGAGACAGTGGGGTTAGGGCTGGGCCCCAGTTCCCGTCTTACCACTCTGATCATGTCACTTCCTCTGCTCTAGAGAACCCCTGGGGTACAGACGCCAACGGATTTGCTTGGGGACCTGGAGTAGCTGCCACCACCACAAGCCGAAGCCATGAGCGGGTTTAACTTTGGCAGCACGGGGGCCCCCTCAGGCGGGTTCACTTTTGGCACCGCGAAGACAGCCGCCACTGCCACCACCACCACCACCACCACCCCTGCTACTGGGTTCTCTTTCTCTACTCCTGCCACAGGCGGCTTTACCTTCGGGGCGCCCTCCCAGCCAGCTGCCAGCACCCCGTCGACCAGCCTGTTCACACTCACCACCCAGGCACCTGCCAGTCAAACCCCAAGGTTCACTTTTGGGGCTACAACACCTTCTTCTGGAGGAACAGGCTTTTCCTTGGGCATAAACACCCCGAAGTTAAACCTGGGAACCCCCGCAGCCCCCCAGGCCACGGTCACCCCCAGCGCCTTTGGGCTCGGCAGCAACACCAGCACCATAGCCCCCACCGTCACCTCAGGCCAGGCGACAGCACCCGGCGGCTTCGTGTTCGGCCCAGCAACCACGTCCACCTCTGCACCCACGACCTCTGGGGGCTTCTCGCTCGCTGAGGGCACCACCACCCAAGCGGGGGCCTCTGGCTTCAGTCTGAGTTCCATGGGGGGTGCAGCACAGTCCACGGGGCTCACCGGCTTACCCTTTGCTGCAACCACCCCAGCAGCCACTGCCGCCGGAGCCACCCAGCCAGCCGCCTCTGTGCCCGCCGCCACCACCACCACCAGCACGGGGCCCTCCCTCTTCGCCTCCATCGCCACAGCTCCAGCGTCATCCGCTGCCCCCAGCCTCTCGCTCGGCCCCCCGGCCACCTCCACCTCGGCTCCCGCGACTGGGGGGCTGAGCTTCAGTTTAAAGCCTCCCGGCGCGACTGCCAGCTCATCCGCAGTGACGTCCAGTGCCTCAGCCACCAGCACCACCACCACCGCCTTTGCCTTGAACCTGAAGCCACTGGCTTCAGCCGGCCTCCCTGGCACGGTGCCGGCCGCAGGAACCACCGCCGCCGCCCCGAGTGCTGCCGTGGGGGCCCCCGCCAGCCCCACGCTGACCTACGTGCAGCTGGAGAGCCTCATCAACAAGTGGAGCCTGGAGCTGGAGGACCAGGAGCGGCACTTCCTGCAGCAGGCCACGCAGGTCAACGCCTGGGACCGCACGCTCATCGAGAACGGCGAGAAGATCACGGCCCTGCACCGCGAGGTGGAGAAGGTGAAGCTGGACCAGAAGCGGCTGGACCAGGAGCTCGACTTCATCCTGTCCCAGCAGAAGGAGCTGGAGGACCTGCTGAGCCCCCTGGAGGAGGCGGCCAAGGAGCAGAGCGGCACCATCTACCTGCAGCACGCCGACGAGGAGCGCGAGAAGACCTACAAGCTGGCCGAGAACATCGACGCGCAGCTCAAGCGCATGGCCCAGGACCTCAAGGACATCATCGAGCACCTCAACACGGCCGGCGCCCCCGCCGACTCGAGCGACCCGCTGCAGCAGATCTGCAAGATCCTCAACGCGCACATGGACTCGCTGCAGTGGGTGGACCAGAACTCGGCGCTGCTGCAGCGGCGCGTGGAGGAGGCCAGCCGCGTGTGCGAGCGGCGGCGCAAGGAGCAGGAGCGCGGCTTCCGCATCACCTTCGACTGAGGCCTCGCCTTCCTCCCGCGCCCAGGGGCTGCCCGGTGCTGCCTGCTTCTCCTCGGCGTTCCCTACTTGGATCATAGCAAGTACACGAGGCGTGGCACTTTGGGGCCAGTGCCACTCCGTCAGTGTGGACCCTGAGTGCTTTCCAACTCACCCCCCTCCCTTCTGCCACCCACCTTGACCTTAGGGCTCCAGCGGGGTGACCACGGACCCGCTCCCCGATGAGCGAGTCCAGCCCACGTCTCCGCCCTTGGAGCGACCCAGCCCGGTTGTGTGGCATCACTTGTGTCCAGTGGCCCCTTCCTTCCCTGTTAGATTGTGCACCCCTGTGGGCAGGGACGGTCACTTGTTCACCTGAGTGAGTGTCCCTGCTCAGTCCTTGTCATGTTTGTTAAATGAGAGAAGATGAAAGCAGGCCTGATCCTGGCCCACAGGAGGTCCTGCTGTGGTGGTCACTGGCTCCCGAGGTGGCCACAGCACTGCTGCAGAATGTCCCGGAGACCAAGGAGAGCCTAGTGGTCAGCGTGAGACTCCCCATGTCCAGCGGGGGGCTGTCACCTGTGCACCCCTCTTCACTCTGCTGCCTTCTCCAAAACAGCTGCCAGGACTGTGTTCTCAATAAAGCAAGTTTATGATAAAACGAAACCGAGTCGTGAGCATGGCTGTGTGTCAGTGGGTGAGCTGGGAGTGAGGGGAGAGCGGGCCCCAGGAGACAACAGCATTGGGGTGCCATTTCCTAATGTCCTGCAGGCAGACGGGCCGAGCATCCTCTGCTCACCAAGAAGAGGGTCACACATTGGCGGTGGTGGCCCCTTATTCCTTATAGGGAGTCTGGCTCGAGGTTTGTGGTCCGTCCAGTTTGTTACTGTTCTTTGGACCATCTGGGGCTTCCAAAGTCAGAGATCACAGCCAGGCCACCAGCTGCCTCCCTCTGTCCCCTGACACCCAGGGATCCTGAAGCTGACCCCTCTGTCCTCCAGTCCTGGCTCTCAGGGACCCTCCATCGGGTTCTGAGGCCGTGAACGTTTACAGAAGACTGCACACCTTTCTCAGCTCACCTTTTGGCTAGCGGCCACCAGAGCTCCTTGGTAAAATGTTAAACACACGACCCTTCTGGTATTCCCACACCATCCGGAGATCCTTGGGCACCCCACTTCGAGAACCACAAGTCTAATACACTGGGACGGTGGCTGCCTGCAAGAGCAGGGAGCCCAGCCCTCAGTGGATCAGCCCTGACGTCGTCTTCCGGGGACCTGGGGTGGGATTCTCACGACGTGAACACAGCAGCCGGCGGGCGGCCCCCCACGCAGCTTCATTGTAACTGCAGTTCCCCTTTCTAGGGAGGAAACAGCTGCGTGTGCTCTGCCAGACCAAGGGCCGCTGCCTAAAGCTCGTCCTCACTAGTTACCCGAAGATGGCACATGTGGTCAGATTTGGCACCAGAGGCTTTTGAAGGTGACTCCCTCCCGGTCTCACTGCATTGCTTCTCCCTGATTAGGGTAAGAGTGGCACTTGGTGGCTATTCCTGCTTTCTCTGAGTCCCCCGAAACCTCAGGTGGCTGTCTTGCCTTGTGGACCCCTTCCCATCCTCCCAGATGGTTCCCCTGCCCCACAGGGCACAGCCAGACTTTTGACACCGGTTTCCAGAGCAGGGGAGAAGCCATCTTCACCCGTAATGTTGAAACAAAATTCCCAAGCTCTGGTTGTTGGGTACAGTGGAGTCAGAACCGACCCATGGTGGACCGTCTGGCAGGTTTTCAGAGGCAGTTAATCACGTGGGAAGGTTTGGATTTGAACCACATGCCTCCGGGATCGCCGCCCAGCTGCTTACCACTAGGCCACAAGAGCTCCCTGGTAGATGTCTAAGCACCAGTCTTCTCAGACAAGAAACGCTTGCCAATTGCCATGGTGTGAATACCACACCCCGGCTGATTCCAAGGGGCAGAAGAAGCAGCAGCCCCATGATGGGGTGCCATCCACCCCCCCACCCCACATGGAGGACGGTGTGGTCAGCAGTGATGGGTTTCAAGGTTTATCGTCTTTGCTCTGGATAAAGATGCCTGTAGCTGTAAGCCCCTGGGTGGTTAACGTGCTCGACTAGGGTGCCTCAGAAGCAAAGCCTGGTGATCTTCCAAAAAGCACCCACTCAAGGGAGCTCTGGTGGCCTAGTGGCAGGAAGCCGCACTGCAATCTCAGAGATTCATGGTTCAAATGCACCCGATGCTCGGCTGGAGAAGGAGGGACAATTTCCTCCTGTACCAGTCAGATACAGTTTGACAGTACACACACAATAATAATAAATTTAAAAAGCACCCACTCAAAATGCTGTGACACATGTTCCCTCACACAGCAGGAGTTGGTTTGGACGTGACATTTTCTCCCTTTTTTCCCCCCTTTTATAATGATGGCTTACCAAACAAAAACTTCCAAAGATTTCATACTCTGCTCTCAGACTGCAGTGAACCAGCCCCAGCACACCACTGACCTGACCCCTCAAGTTTTTAGCCAACCCCAGAACCCATCTTCCTTGCTCTTAACTGCCTTCAGGTTGGAACCAAGTCATAGCTGACCCTGAAGCAGGTTTTCAGAAGCTATAAATCATGGGAGGAGAACTGCCCATCTTTCTTTTGAAGACGCAGCTGGTGGATTTGAACCACCAGCCTTTCATTTGGCAGGGCAGCTCCCTAGCCTCCAGGCCTCTGCGTGTTTGAGAAGGAAGCCTGCGCCCTGTGAGCCTGCCCCACACACACCCTCAGCTGAAGCGGTCACAGGACAGTTTGGGGAATCGTAGGGCGCACGTGGCGGGGTCACCGCCCACGTTGGGTGGGTGCATCGCCACTAGAAAGTTTTTTCAGATTGGCAGGGTGGGAGTCTCCCCCCTCCCCCCATGGCCACCAACTGCTCTGACCCCACTCTAGGACACTGGCACCTCTGGTCTGACAAGGGGATTCTGGACAGAGTTTCCGCCCTTTGCCCAGTTCGGCGCTGAACCGAGGATGACTTCAGTCCCGGGCTGACAGGCCATGGGCGCTGAGAGGGCACCTCAGAGCCAGCCATACAGTGAGTGCCCCCTCCAGGGCCTAAAGGTGTCCGGAGACCTGGGGAGGGGGCAGGAGGGCTATGGGGCAAGGGTCCTCCACCCCATCCTGGGGTCAGCTGAAGATCAGGGGCTCAGGTAAGTCTGCACACCATGCCCCACCCCCTTCCAGCTTGGACCCCCCCCTCCCCAGGTGTCCTAGCTAGCTCTGGCACCCCCAAGCCGGCTCTGCCCCCCTGAAATTCCTTTAGTCCTAATACCAACGACTAGGGAGTCTTTGAAGAGATTAAATGGATAGTGAATGATGCTGGTGGTGCAATGATTAAGCACTTAGCTCCCCATCAAAAGGTCAGAGGTTCAAACCACTCCAGTGGTGCTGACAGAGAATAACCTCCTGGAGGTTATTCCCATAAAGACTGAGAACCCCACTGTTGTCGGGGTGACCCTGACTGAAGTTTGTCCAGGGCAACAAGTCTCCCCTGGAGCAGACCACCTCAGCTGTTCCCATGCAGCGGCTGGTGGGTTCAAACCCCCTCACCTGTGCCCCCAGGGCTCCTTGCTTAAAACCTGCAGCCCCGCAAATCCAATGGGGCCGTCCTGATCACATGAGGTTCCAGGGTCTAAATCAACTCCATGGCACCAAACATGTGACCCCCAACTCAGTCCCCAGCCCCCCCCCCCGGCACCATCAGAGGCCAGCGCCCAGAACGGATCACTCACCCGAGAACAAACCAGTAGGGTTTTCTCCCAAAAGACAACGTGGAAGGGTTTTGTAGGGTTTCCTTGCCAGCCTCACATGTCACAAAATCAATATATCCCAATAATTGACTGAAGCATTGATTTGATTGAGCGGACGCCCTAGACCTCCCCCCCCTCCTTGTTTGGCCCCTGCTGGCCCCCTTAATCGGTGCCACACACAAGAAGCACGCTCAGCCCAGATCTGGCCCCCTGCTGAGTCCAAGTCATCACGGGTTTGTGTGTCTGCAGTGCTGGTCACTCGGGACAGGGCCTCCATCTCCCAGCCTCGCTGGCCTGCTGGCCTGTCCCACTCCATCTCTGAACCTCAGTTGTCTCATCTGTTCAGTGGGGACAGCAGGCGGCCTGTCCTGCGTGCAGAGCCCACTGGTGTCCGTTTTCGCTGACTCTCACTTTCCTTTTCTCCGTCCAGCCTTCTGACTCCGGGGATTTTTTTTTTTGGTCACATTCCCCTGTCAGGCCACCAAGTGACTCACAAGCCCACCCTCCGTGAGACCACACCCTCTGCTGTCCACAGGCCGGGTTTTCCCATGTCCTTACCTAGAACTACTGCTGCTGAGAAAACCCCCACCACCAGTTCCCCTCCTGACTCCCTGGCCCCGTCAGCACCCCTCTGCCCCTTGGCTGAAGCCCCAAAACTGTGAGGCCCTGCTACCCGAAGTAGGGCTCCCAGGAGATGGGGGCCCCTCTGCCAGAGGACACCCCCTGGGGGCTAGGCAGGTGGAGGAGGCGAAGGCAGAGGTGGGCTCCCAGTTTCTACCCGGTGTGGCCCAGCAGGACATCAGTGCGGAGGGGAGCAGCATGAACCCCAGGTCAGCCGTGTACCAGGCAAGCACGTCCACCTGCTGGGATGGCCCAGCACCAGCGTTGGCCCAGGACTAGGCCGTAAGTCTGAGAGGAGACCGCCCCCCCTTCCTCCCTCAGGAGCAACAGGTGGATTCTTTCCCAACACATGACAACCCCCCCCAAGACCCCCTGGTGTTAGACACAGGCAGGAGAGAGGCCTGGTGGTGATGTGCTTCTCGGGTGACATTCTACTGTCACTGGGACCAAGATCTGAAGGGACCCAACAGTGGGTGCCAGCTCCGAACACTGTGTGTGCTCGCTGCTGTACCCGGATGCCTGTACACCCCGAATCCCCTCCACCTCCGTACCGCACAGCAGCGTTGCCAAGGGGGCCCCGGGCTGACGCACACCAGGCTGCAAGCTCCGTCTGCTACACCCATTTCACAGAGGGGAAGACTGAGGTCCAGAGTTCCCATGAAAGGGAGTGGAGCCAGTGCAGGCTCTGCAGGCCGCAGGAGTGGCTGGCAATCTCCTAGAACAAGATGCTCACCAGCCCCTCAAGGCTCTCCCTCACCCCACAGTGAGGGGAGCTGTCTGCCCCGCTACCTCGGCATTTATTTCAGGCGCCCGCCCGTCCACCCCCAGAACTATTTGGGGCAAGAGAAGAAAATAGAGAAAAGTTTCCTTGCTAGGTCCCTCTCGCCCGCTGACCCCAGCAGCTTCAACCAGCCTCCAACCCCAGACCTGGGGCTACTCCCAGAAACCAGTTTCATTTCCTCTGGCCCAACTCCCCGAGGGAGGGGAGGGCGTGACATACCCCATTTAGGGACCAGAAGGGGGACCTGTAGACCAGACACAAGGACAGGAAGGCAGAGAGGTTTGCTGCCGTCTGTGGAGAGCGGAGGTAGGGGTAGAGAGGACAGAGGCAGAGAGGGTCAGGGAGACAGAGCACCCAGGGATAGAGGAGGGAGGTGGGGAGGATACAGAGGGTCAGGGGGGCAGAAAGGAGGCGGGGGAGACAGAACAGAGGGAGGGACAAGAGGGGAGACGGAGAGCCAGGGAGAGAGGTAAGGTTGGGGTGAGCCAGGAGCACCCAGACCCCCCTCACATGCCTTTGCTTCTCCACCCCAGGCGCTGTCCCCCAGCCGCGAGCCATGGCCCTGTGGGGTGAGTAGATGAGGAGAGGGGCTGCGTGGGAGGGCCCCTCGCCCCCGACACTGACCTCTCCTCCTCCCCCAGCCCCGCGCCTCCTCGGCCTCGGCCTCGTCCTCAGCCTGGCGGCCTCCCTGTCCGCGAAGGCTGTCCACATGCAGGACCCCCTCCAGAAATGCTTTGTGGATCCGGACTACGAGCACCTGCTCAGAATCGTGACCCACGGGCTCAACAAGACGGTCAAGCCCCAGAGGGTGATCGTGGTGGGCGCCGGCGCGGCTGGGCTGACGGCCGCCAAGGTGCTGAGCGACGCTGGGCACAAGGTGGGCACCGGCAGGGCTTCCGGCTGCACTCTCGGGGGTGGGGTGGGAGTTCCCGCCAGAGAACCCTGGGGGGCGAGGAGGGGATCCCGGTCCCGCTGAGGCTTCGAGGGGTGCCTGCCAGTGTAGACAGCACCCTCCAGCTCCCTCCTGGGACCCAGTGGTGGGGACAGAAATGCCACCAAACGGGAAGTCATTCCTGAGGTCTAACTGACATCCAAGAACAGGGCCGGGGCTCTAGACACGTAGGCAGATGGGAAATCTCCCCACTTGCCGAGGTGGTAAGTCCCTCTGCATTCTAGCCATCAGCCTTCCTGCTGTAGCCTGGAAACACCATGCTGCCCAAGTGCCCGCCTCTCCTAGTCTGCCCCCGGGGCTGTACTGCTGTGGGGTGGGGTTGGGGGGGCGCAGGGGCTGGCCAGGGGGCAGGGGAGGGTCAGCGGGAGAAACTGAAGTGCCCTGCCCACCTCCCCAGATCACCATCCTGGAGGCCGACAAAAGGATCGGAGGCCGCATCCTCACCTACCGTCACAGGAAGACCGGCTGGATAGGGGAGCTGGGGGCCATGCGTATGCCCAACTCACACAGGTGTCCCCCTCGAACCCTGCCGGTGTCGGCCTCCCACTCCCCCTCTCACGAGCCCAGCCTCGCAGTCTTGTGGTCCAGGCCACCCCCACCTGTCTTGGGTCCTGCCAAACAGAGCCCCCACGTCCCTCAAACCCTGTGTCTACCCCCCAACTCAGATCCCGGCCCCACCTTCATCCCCAGTGCAGGCCGGCTCCCAGCCCGAACCCACTCTCCCCATTTCATCTCTGTCCTCATCCCCTGTGACCCCATCTTCAGCCCCAAAGCCTGTCCCTACCTGATTCCAACCTCACTGAGGAGACCCTAACTCCATCGCCGCCAGCGCCACCTTCACCCTTCTGGCCCTGCTCTCCTCACACCTGGTTCTTCCACTGCCCCTCTCAACCCTCAGTGCCCCGACCGACCCCCCCACCCTCACTCCCACCCTCAGGATCCTGCACCAGCTCTGTAAGACCCTGGGACTCAACCTGACCAGCTTCGTCCAGTACGACGAGAACACGTGGATAGACGTGAACGGCGTCAAGCTGCGCAACTACGTGGTGGAGAAGATGCCTGAGAAGCTGGGCTACCATCTAGACCCCCAGGAGAAGGGCCACTCGCCCGAGGAGCTCTACCAGCTGGCCCTCAACAAGGCGGGTCTCCCTGCACAGCCGGTGTCCCTTCCGGTGTCACCCGCTGGACTCTGGGGTGGGCTCTCAGTCTCGGGACCCCCAGAGCCCTGCGGGCTGGGTCCCTGCTCCACCACCCCGTCATTCACACTGCCAGACCCCCCTCTTCCCGCTGTGCCTGGGCCTTCAGCCTTAGTCTGCAAACTGCTGTCTCCTAAATCCCTTTGCAGACCCTCAGGCCTCTGTTCGTCCACCTTGGCCACCCACTGGGCCCTTAGTCTCCCTCAAGGCTCAGCCCCTTCCCCTAAACCCACTCATACTCCTGGACTCCCCCATCTCACAGCCATCAGACTCCCCATTGCCCTCCCCATTTGATCTGCCCCATCCCATCCCTGTCAACCCTCACCTCCTGTCCCCAGCTCTGCTCTTTCGCCTCCTCTGGTCCTTTGCCCCGACCTCTCCCCAACCTCCAAGCCTCCCCCCTGATGGCTCCAGATGGGTCTCTTCCCATTCAGCCACGAGGGCTTCCCAGTGCCCCAAGTCTGAGCCTCGTCCTCTCTTCCAAGACATAGTCGTTTCTCCCACCATCCTCACGTCCTCCCCACCATCCTCACGTCCTCCCCACCATCCTCACGTCCTCCCCACCATCCTCATGTCCTCCCCACCATCTCACATCCTCCCCATGGGCCTCACGTCCTCCCCACAGCCCGCATGTCCTCCCCACCAGCCTCACATCCTCCCCACGGCCCTCATGTTCTCCTCACCATCCTCAGATCCTCCCCACGGCCCTCATGTCCTCCCCACCATCTCACATCCTCCCCACGGCCCTCATGTCCTCCCCACCATCTCACATCCTCCCCATGGGCCTCAAGTCCTCCCCACCATTCGCATGTTCTCCCCACCATCATGTCCTCCCCACCATCCTCACATCCTCCCCACGGCCCTCACGTCCTCCCCCCATCCTCATGTCCTCCCCACGGCCCTCATGTCCTCCCCACCATCTCACATCCTCCCCATGGGCATCAAATCCTCCCCACGGCCCTCATGTCCTCCCCACCATTCGCATGTCCTCCCCACGGCCCTCATGTCCTCCCCACCATCCTCACATCCTCCCCACAGCCCGCATGTCCTCCCCACCATCTCACATCCTCCCCACAGCCCTCATGTCCTCCCCACCATCCTCACGTCCCCCCCACAACCCTCATGTCCTCCCCACCATCCTCATGGCCCTCATGTCCTCCCCACCATTGTCATGTCG